GAGTAGTGTTTCTCAACTGGCAAGAGAACATTTGGCAAATATTAGACCCATTTTTGGTTGTCAAAACAGATTGGGAAGATATGCTGATAGCATCTAGACCAGGGATGCTGTTAAACATCCTACAGTGCACAGCATACCATCCCTACTGCTCACCAAAGTATTACCCAATGACCTAAAATGTCAGTAGTGTCGCTCTTGAGGAACCCTGCCCTAGAGGGTAGCAGTATCTGTGAAGGTGACAATTAGGCATCGACTTCTGTCTATAGATTGTACCAGTTTGACCAAGTTTCCATTCGGCCCTGTGTCATCTTTCTTAATGATTAGAGAGAGAATCTATGTCAGTTTCTTATCAGTTAGGATATGTCTCATTCTTAATCAAAGAAGCCACTTAAATTGTTTTTCTTATTTTAGTTAAATTTTATAAAACCATTTATATTATTGACAAATGTTTATGAAAAGTTTGTATGGTTGACTAGAAAGAGTCTTTTCTGGATTAAAAATGTTGCTGACTTTCTTATTTCTTTTCATTTAGAAGTAAAATAAGTGAACTTACAACAGAAATTAATAAACTTCAGAAAGAAATAGAAATGTACAATCAAGAGAATTCAGTATATTTATCATATGAAAAGAGGTAATTGTTCAGTTAAAATGTGCAACATCTTTTTTACTAGTAACATTTAATGTAATACGTTTCAAGAGTTTAATGCTGAATTTGTTATCGATAATGTTTGTAATGTTCATTTGCTTATTTATTGATTTATGAATGAATTTATTTTATGCTTGCAGAGCTGAGACTTTAGCAGTTGAAATCAAAGAGTTTCAAGGACAACTAGCAGACTACAACATGGTATTTGCTTTTTTTGAATAATTTAATTGTTTTTTACCTGAATACATATTAAAATACATAATTTAAAATATATATTAAAAATGTATTATTTTAAATAACAAGTAATACATGAATACATGCTTATTGTGACAGATTGAAACCATGGAAAGTGTAGAGATTAAAGTGTCCCTCATATCCCTCCCTAGAAATAATTTGGCTTAACAGATTGATAGGTATTCTTCCAGTCTTTTTTTAAAAAAGTACATTTACTTAAAAATACAGAAACATACACTTTGTTTTCCCTATGTTAAAGTGATAATCTTAAAAGTAGCAAAAATTTATTGGGTACTAATAATGTCATTATTGTAAAAAAAAAATTTTACTTTTCTGTGGAATATCGTCATCACGAAATTTAGAAATTTAGTATGCAGATTATCTCCATCTATATGTTTCATTCAAAATACAGTGTTTGCCTTCTGTCAAAATAGAGTATGTAGCATAAACATAGTTCTACCAAGGTTGCTTTCTAATGTGGACTTTGAGAAGAAATAATCTTGGTAGTAAAGATAACTGCTCCAATCTTTGGAGTGATCTTGGCCCCATGATATATCTAGTGTCAGAATTTTCTTTCCATAGGCGATTTAGTCAGCAGTGGTGTCTGGGCTTAATGAAAAAGAAAAGCTTTTATCTTACTTCTCCTGTTAAAAATAGTGTTATATAAAATAGGAAACATTATTATAATGGTTAGGTAAATTATTGTATAGCTACTGGGTATTGTTATATTATACTTATAAACAAAATTTTGCTGAATATAGTATATTGTAATTTTTAAATTTGTTGGACTGTATAATCCATAACACATTTTACAAGGCTTAATATTCAGTGCAAATTTTTTAATGAACTGTTCTAAATATGAGAAAAATAGTGTTTTATAAAAGATGACATTAGATGAAAGGGATTTTTAGTTGTACTAGAATACATTAGGTAAATTACTTAGTATAAAAATATTAATGTGTAAAACATGCTACATGTAGATTTAATGAGCTAACATCTGATACAGAGAAAGCATTTAGCCAAGTTTCTAACATAAATAGTAAGCATGAAATAAATGTTGTCTTTTTATTATTTATTATTTATATTACGGTAAGAAGTGATACATACTTATATATCTTACATTAATAAAACTTTGTCTTTTAGATTCAATTACAGTCAAATGGTTTGCTTTTAGTAGCCCTCCTGTTCAAATTCTGGCTCTATAACTTGCTAAATTTCTTTATGTATAATATCTACTTCATAATTAGGAAAATCAGTGAAATAACAACAGTGTCTGGCACAAGATAAATATGTTAGCTATCGCTTTTATAGACTAACTTTCTGAAGTAGACTTATGGTGTTTGGTTTGTGCCTTACCCGGTTGCTTAATTTTTAAAAAACCAAATAAATCATTTTACATTTTCACTGGTTTAAATTTGTAAATCTGTTAACACCTATCTCCCCTGAAAAACTAGAGCGTGAGAGAGAGAGATCTTCCCCAAACTTTTGTCTTCTCTAGACCCTTCTTTATAAGCTCAGACTTCTCAGAGTTCTTCAGAGTACAATTTGCAGGAAGAATAGTTCATTACTGTTCACTTTTTTACATTCCTAAAAAATGTGGTTCATTGATTGGCTAAATGCGCAGTATGTGCATACTTAAGTAGCTCAATATTTGTTTTTATTATAGAAGATAAAATACTTGGAAATATTAATGCTTAAATAACTTCATTATTTGTAAGGTTGATAGAATTCATTATATTATGAAAATCTAGAGGAAATTTATGAAGACTAATAGAATGTATTTTTTTCCCATATTTTTGTTTTAGTTGGTAGATAAACTCAATACCAATACTGAAATGGAAGAAGTAATGAATGATTACAACATGGTAAGAAAATTTATAAGCAGATCTACATAAAACGTATCCTCCAAAACAAAGCATTTATATCTAGAAATAGTGTGATGAAACTTGTGGATTTTAGAGATGGTTATTACTGATTCTAAATACCACTATTACAGTTGAGTTCCCTTAATTGCTCTTCTTAAATTTTTTCCAGTTGGTTGGCTCTCCCAAGTGGATACTTCAGTGTCTTTCTTAAAGGCTATGGTTGAACTGGTCTTGTATGAAGCGTTAGTTAGGAAGTCCTGTCTACATTTCCTTGTATATAATTTAGTTTGTAATACTTCCAGTTTAATATTTGCACAAATGGAGCTGAGTACTCAGTGGAGATACTATGGTACCCTTACAGAGTATAAGAAAGGGAGAAAAACGAGTATCATATGATGCCAGACATAATGCTACTTTTGATTGGTAAATGAGATTTTTTGTTGACTACTCATGTTATTTGGTAGAAAACAATAAAATGTTAGTAGCTAATTTATTTATAATCACTTAGAAGAAAATCACTTTCAACTTGTAATTTACATAGCTTATAATTTATTTAGAAAATCGTACAATATTCTATGGAAGCATAGAATTTATAAAATAACTTCTAAATTGGGGTTCTAGAAGCATGATAATTTAGTGAAGTTATTCTTAGTTTTAAGAAAATAGAAGAAGTCTCAATTTAAAAACTATTTTCAATGCCAGATATAAAAAGTAAAAAATTCTTTATTTTGTCAGTTTTTTGGGATAGGTCCAAATTCTAAGCTAAATGCACAGATAGAGTCAACTAAGAATACTCAGGTAAAGTTCTGAACAATTTAAGAAGAAAACTTGTGTTGGGTTTAAATTCAAATATTAGTAATCAACTAAACACCCAATAAATTCTTGAGATTTTGTTTACATAAATTAAGTTTACATTGGATTATTTAACAAATCGCTAAAGAACAATGAATATCTTTGTTATGAGATTACAATGCCTATGAAAAAAACTGTTTCTTTTTATTTGGTGTTATGCTTTGTTAATTGAAAAAACATTATTTTTTTCAAACTTTGTATGTGGCATTAGGATTTTTATAATAATTTCTCAATTAGTTCATAACCAGAATAAACTTTAAAGAAATAGTTTGGTTTAATGGTAATTTATCATCAGTAACTTCTGTGTTAACTCTCTATTCAGCTTAAAGCTCAAAATGATCGAGAAACACAAAGTATGGATATGATATTTACTGAAAGACAAACGTAAGTACAATCCATTTAGAATTAAAACAGATTTATAAGTGAACTGTATTAGGTAGTTTAATTTCTGAGCCATTTATTTCCTTATGAATTATCTTGTTTTTCCCTGTTGCATTTTTTATTTAAAAAGAGTTGAATATTTGTAGTACCGATTTTATTGTTTAGACACCTGTTATCTTTATTTACCATTAAGTACCCAAACCCTATACAAATGAAATTACTACATAGATTAAACAAAATTTTTACTTCTAGAATTTTAAAATCTAAGATGGATAAGAACATCTTCATGTCTGCCATTTATAATTCTAACCTGAGCTTTTAACTAATTTGAATTATGAGATTTAAGCCCCAGTCTGATGAAAGGCACATTATTAGTCTGTGGGCTGTTTACAGTATTTTATTGTTTCATACATTATTCAAAACTTAGTATCTGTGGTATATAATTGAGACTAGGTGAAATAGATTCTCCTGACCCCTTTTAAGCATAAATTTAAATTAAGAACATTATGAAGTTTACTTTTAAATGCAGCAGGATAAATTTATTTCATGTGTTAATCACATGGCCATCTCAATAACACAAGGATCTGCCTTGACACTTCTCATTCAAAAAGAGCAAGAAATACTATACCTTGAGAAGGCAGGTGTAAAAAACGTCTGTTTTCATTTTCTTCTATTTTAGTACTACCATTTAGTGTGGTATGATCATCTGGTTTATTATGGAACATCTATTCATAATACGTTGGTTAAAATATATAGCCTCAATATATTACTACACTACTTAGACACCTGGCTTTAATTCGGTTTCACATGGGTGCTTGATCTAATGATTCTCTTCCAGTTCTGATGTCTTCGGTTTTCTAGTTTGGTATTAGTCAAAATCAGTTATCTTTTAAAAATGTGTAATTATAATTTTAAACTCATTCATTCATTTTTGTTTAGTCAGATATTTATTGAATACTCCATACCCAATTATGAGAGGTTCTTCAGTATAAGAGATTAATATGGTCTTTTCTGATTTATAAAACATTTCATTTTACTCTTTCTTAAATTTTCACATTTGCCTTTTAAATTAGTAAATGATGTTTTGGTAAAATGATAGGTTACTTAGAAAATGATGCCTTGTGTTTCTATTATCTCACTCAAAATTGAGGTTGAAAATGTTGATTTATGATTGATATTATATATATATATTATCTATTAGGAAATATTACACGTAAAGCACTTACATCCTGTATTGAAAACATTTTTATAAAAACAAGCAAATATGCATGGTAAATAAGGGAGTTTGTTTTCCTATTTCACAGGGTATATCATCCTAAACAGTTTTTATTTTCCTCAGTAGACAAATGAACTAAATTTACTATTGATATAACCTTTAAATGACCATTTTGCAGAACATAACGTACATCTACATTATTTTTAGTGTCTTTTTTCTAAAAAACTGCAACGTAAATACACATTTAAAAAACTTTATTATAGAGAAATTTTAGCATACACAAAAATAAAATAGTGTACTATACTCCAGTGTACCCATGTCCCAGCTCCATCTGCTCATATTTAACCCTGATCCATCCACGCCTCTAACCACTGTTTCCTTTTCTGTATTATGATAAAGAAAATCTAAAATATGTCATTATATTACATCCATAAGTATATTTTAGTGTTTTAAAGATATTTTCCTCTAAAAAATATAAATACTTCCTTACATATAGAAGATAAAGATGGTAGATTTTATTATAGCTTTTAATGCCACTGTTTACATTGTTATTAAACTTATGATTTCAGCAAATTGATTATAAGGAATTGGCAAGTAATTCAGTTTAGACTCTTCCTATAATAGTCTCAAGGCCAGTGTTTTCCAAACTGTGTTATTTGGACCCTTATTGTGCTTGTGAGCTCTTAGTAGGCATACTTCAAAGAAAGGATTTTGGTGTCGAGGAAGTTTGGAGAATTCTTGACAATTTGCTTCTGAAGAACAGAGCAGTTTAGCTTAGTAAAGTCTTGGATGACTCCTGGAGTAAAGAATCTTGTTCAAACCCAGTATTTCCTATAGTAAGTCTATAGTAATTGGAACATGTACCTTTCATCTCCCCTATAAATACTTCGGAATGTCTCTCTGGAAATTAATGTTCTAGAAAACAACTTGGGAAGCATTCCTATATCTATAGGACCCCAAACAGCTGTCCATGGACCAACTGAAGATTTCTCAGCCCTAGCACAGACTCATTTGAATAAAAATCTGTCAAAGAGAGGCAGAAATATGTATTTTTTTAAAAAATAAGATTTGTAGATAATTGTGATACCCATTTTGGAAGCCACCATGCTATTCAGTTGTGATGATCGTGCATTATGGTGACAGTCTTTATTAACCAAAAGCAGTAGTAACTTATTAGGGATTGTGCTTGGCTCTTGTGCCTGTGCTTTAAATTACTAGCAGATTTTCAGGAAATTTATTGTGCTAAATCAGGAAGCATTTAAAAAAATGTTTTCCAATTCTATGAATTTATTTTATGAGCATAAAAATCAGCCTTTGTGTACTGTCAGTTTAAGCTATGTCTGTTCTGTATTCTGACTCATGATATAAATCCAAAACTTTTCTCTACTGATTGCAATCAGTAAAACTTTAATGTAATTTAATATGTGTTACATCAAATATCTAAGCTAATATGAGAATCAGTTAATTTTAATTAATGAATAATTTACTTTAGGCTTTTTCTTTATGTATGGATGGTCTCCTGAATGCTGCTGAGAATAGTAATACTAATATTGTACCTTAGCTACCGAGGACTGTCGGTTACTGTACTTGGACTGACTTGCTCAATATCAATGAGAAAAACATAATTTTATGGTATTTATCTGTGTTACAATTAATATGAAGGTCTGCTAGGTATAGCCTGGTATGTCACATATCAAAATCTTCATGTCTACACTGTGAGTGAACTGATAACATTTTTTAAAGAATCAAACATTGAAAGAAGTTAATTTTCTTCACATGATTCATGAATATCAATATATTTGTCTTCAATAAACCCATCGTCATCTACCACAAATGAATGTACATGTTCAAATATTACTAGAGTTTCTTTGGAGTTTGTATCTGGTATCTGTGAAAGAGAACTTGGATTTTCAGTAAAACCATCTTCGTAGGTTTCTGCTTCATGCTCTTCCAGGTGATGATGCTTGTAACTAAGCAGAAAATTGTACCATATGGGGCATTTGATAGCAATAAAAATGAGGAGTGAAGTTACCAGCATGGTAGCTACACCACCACCAAGTAAAGCCCAGCTTTTTCCAAGAGGTCCTTGTTCTTAAATGGAATACAGAGAGATAGGGAGAAAGAGAGAGATTTTGTTAAATTGACAAAAAATAATAATAATTACATGTTCTAAAAACTCTTCAATATTGGTATTAAAAATGTACACTGTAATTTTCTTAAAGCAATAGTTACCAAAACATTGTAGTTTTACAATAAATGAAGATATTTCATAATGTGGTAAAGAGTACTTTTTTCAAAATAACTCCTATCTTTGCAAGTATTGTTTATCCATTCATCTAAAAACATTATTGATTTAAGCCTGTTAAGAATTGTGACTTGACTAGTGAAAACTAAGGCTATGAGAAGTTAAATAATTTGTCTAGTAGCATTTTGCTGGTAACTAGCAGAGCCTAGTTTGGAAACCTAGTATTTTGTAAATCTTTTGTTGAGATGAGGAATTCTTTTACATTGTTTCTAGAAACTTAAAGTGCAGAATAATGAGAACTACCTTAGTTTATTTAGTATGCTACCTTCAGCAATATTAATATTCAAAACGAGTATATTACCTGAATTTCTCGTTAGATTGTTCAAAGAGCTATTAAATGTTGAATTGCTAATGGACTGAAAATTAATATAAAGATCTTCAGTTATAGGTGAAGGAAATTTTGAGTGGCATTCAGCCTTATAATGTACTATTTTGATACTGTAGCCCTTCAGGGTATCTGGGTAGCTGCACATGGTGATGTTCTCATTTTCTAAAAAATCAGAAAGAATAAGTTAAGATTTTCATGGAAAATAAAATTATTATGGTTAATAAATTTTATGGTTAACAACATTTTATAATTATTTTTATCTAGAATTTTTTGTCATATTTATGTCATTGTTAGATACTGTAAGAAACTCTTGTATTGCCTAGGAACATGAGGGAAAGATGCACATTCCTGTTTATGAAGTTATTTTATAAATATAGGTTAAGTGTTGTTTCTGTTTATTGTTCTGTTTGTCTGTGTTAGTAAAGATGTTATGATAAAAGTTGTGAAAATCTGGATCTCAGGCAGAGCATGATTTGCAATTAAGAAAGTAGGACGCCTGTTTTTACCTATTGTCTGGCAGGATAGCCTAAATATAGGAAGTACTTAAAAAATTAAATTGAGTATTGAAAATGCAAACTAAATACATAAAGTGACAGTATCATCTCACATATATAGAACACTTAAATTTATTCTTTTTCTGGAGAGGCAGAGGGAAAGCATCTATTCAAAAATTACTTTTCAGTGTTTCTTCCTGTTTCCCTTAAACAGGAATAGTTTTCTTTTCTTTAAAAAATGATATGAGAGACTTTTTTGCGGTGAAACAACCAAAAATCAATTACATTTTGGCTTTGATTAATTTAAATTATGATTGCTTACCTAGTGTCACATTTGATGTGTTCAACCAGTTCTGCAAATTCAGCAGACCACAAGAGCAGTTCCATGGATTTCCATATAAAATGATTATTTCCAGAGGAAAGAGTTGTGGTACATCAAAATAGCTTATCAAATTGCCTTGCAGATTCAGAAGTTTCAGATTTTTTAGAGGCACAAATATTTCAGGATTCAGTTGTAACATTTTGTTTTGGCAGAGATATAACTGTTTTAGTTTTTTTAAGCCGATAAATGCATCCTGTTGAATTATGCGGATAGAGTTTCTACAGATATTTAAAATTTGTAGATTGGAGAGGTTACTAAAACTATTATTATATAGGATAGTGACATTATTCTCAAACAAGTAGAGTTCAGTGAGTAAAAAATACGTCTGTAGAACACTTGTGTCTCTAATATTCAGAGTAATTTGGTTGTGACTGAGATCAAGTATAGTGACATCTTTATTTATATCCGCTGGAATCAAAGAATAATTCTTTTCAGTGAAATTACATTTGACTTCCTAAAAAAGAAAAAATTAGAAATACATTAATCAAAAAAATACATTACAATTTTCAAAATTTTTATATCCAGGCAATTAGGCATGGAAGGAAATAGTTTAGAGAAAAAAAAAATCTATCGAATCTTTTTGTGTTACGGTATGAAAAAGTAAAAGCAAATGTTTTTCTTCCATTATTGGGATGGAGTACTGAAGATTAAGGAAATTCTGATACATGTAATTGAGCAAGGAGATTCTAGTTAGTCATACAGGTATTTTCCAACTGTTATTACATAATATAATAATTATAGAAAGTATTGATATATTTATGTTTATATATCTGGAAATAAATACATAGTGAATAATAGTCCAGTTATTTTTTTGTGTAGGATTGACATTTGTAATGAGGAAATTGTTTTAAAATATGTAATTTTTAAAATCTGATATTACTAGATTATTTAATTTTTTAAATTAGAGTTGACATACAATATTATATTAGTTTCGGATGTACAACATAGTGATTAGACATTTACATAACTTACAAAGTGATCATGCCAATAAGTCTAGTGCCCATCTGACACCATACATAGTTTAAAATGTAATTTTTAAAAAATTGGCAGAGTTACCAGCACTATACATAGGGCTATTAAATAATTAAGAAATAATACTCAGTGTGTAACTCTATAGGCTGAACAGCTCAAAGTTTGGTGTTTTAAAAGAAAATATATCAGAAACTGAACCATGTATTGAATTTAAAGAGCCAGGCAGCATGAAGAAGTGCTTTCCTTATGTGGCTATTGATCCTAAGAAATAGTTCTTGTTTTAACTGTTTTTCTTGACATTGAAATGTAACCCCAAAGATAATAATGTAACTAATTTTTCTCATAAAAATGTGATTTTAAAAAGATTTCCTACATTTTAAAGTGTGGTTTTTAATGTCTTAAAACTAGTCTCTGATTTTACAGTAAGAATTTACAGATTTCTCAATCAACATTTTAAGAATTCAGTCTAAAAAAAATGAAGACTGCTTTTGTCAAATTAGAATCTGGCTAAGAGATCACAGATTTTGAATATACACAGCTAACTAAAGAGTTAATTTTGATAATTTGCGTTTTGTTTGTTTTGCTTCTGTTTATTGCCTTGGGATATTTTACTAAAAAGTGTACATTTGAAAATATTTTCACTATTTTGATTGTAAAAACTTACTGTTTTAGAAGTCTGGCTTTCATCTGATAATAATAACATGGAGAGAGGCCAAAACAAGATCAGGATGCATGTGGTTTTCATATCGCAGGCCTGATAGAAAAGAGAGCATTTTTATCTCAATACAAGACTACAACTTCAGAGATTATTGAGGACATTTTGATTTCCATTTTTTCTCCTTTTAAATCTATTTTTCTTAAAGTATATTAAATGTGAAACAACTACATTTTTCTTCACCCTCCCTGCATATTTATCTTAATAAACTGGAAAACTCTTGTGGAAAATTGAAAGAATATTTTTAGGATGTCTATTGGCCCTAGATCTATTGAAAGGAACTTTAAAACAATTGAAGTGGTTGTACACTTTAATATTTTAATGCGTATGCATAAAAGATAGTCCAGAAGAATATATATGTATGTATTTAAATATGTTCTTATATTACTACTTCTTGATTTTTCAATTTTAGCTGTCTTTTACGGGTATTATCCATTGACTAACTGTGGGAGATGAGAGTCTTCAGTTCTCTTTTGAACCCTTCCTACCTTCATCTCTAACACATCAAATATATACTTCCTGTTTCTTCATTCTCCAAACTTAGTTACTTGTAATTTTGGTTAGATGAATATTCATTGTTTATACCATCACGAGTGTATAAATGCTATCAATAACTGAGCCATGTAACATTACTTTTCTGTTCCTGTTCATATTATTTTGCTAAATTAAATGTACTTTTTTTTTTTCCATAGGCTTAGTTTCTTTTTTTTCCCCATAAATTTATACCCAAACTATTCCCTAGCAAATCACTCAGTAGTTTATGCATATTAGATATTTAATCTGTTTCATCTGCTTAAAGAAATCTGTCCCGTCCCAGCATATGCTGCCATGCTATAATCTGGATGAGCTGATCACTAGGCCCTCTGTACAGCTGTTGACTTCCACTCTCCCTCCACTCTCACTGTAGATTACCTTTTGTCTTGATTACTGGATTCCTGTTTCTCTTGAATGCCCTGTCTTGGATTACTGCCTTTTTTCGATGGCGCTGCCTTCAGTAGTTTCCTGAGAAGGTGTGTAGGAGGGAATCTTTTAGCCTTGAAAGATAATTTGGCCAAAAATAGAATTCTAAGTAGGAAATAGTTTTTCCTCAAAATGTTGAAGTCATTGTCCCATTGTCTTTGGATTTCTAGTATTATTGTTAAGAACGGTGATACTGTGTCATTATAATTCTTTATCATTTTGTCTAACTTGTCTCTTCTTAACCGCCAAAGCTTTTAAAATCAATATTCTGCAATTTCACGATCCTATGTGATAGTTTGTTTTCATTCATGAAACTAGGTACTTGGTATGGGTACTTTCAGTCTAGAAGCTGTGTCCCCCAATTTTGGGAAATTTCTGAATGATTTCATTGATGATACTAATGATTTTCTTCCTCTTCTTTAAAAAAAATCTTACTTCTCTTTCTAGAACTGCTTTAATTGGGTGTTGGATTTCCTACAAGAATTTTCATATTTTTTTTCTTTACTCTCTTATATTTTATTTCTGTGTGTTTTTGTTCTGCTTTCTGGGTGATATCCTCAACTTTATGTTTTAACTTTTCCATTAAAAGTTTTCTTTTTCCTGTCATCTTTTTAATTCTAGGAGCTTTTTTCTCTGAAAATTTTCTTTAATAGTATCCTATGGCATGAATGTAGTTTTTTTTCTTACTGTATTTTTTTATATCTTTTGTTGTTTTCTTTTTCCTTGTCCCCATATTATGCTTTTTCAGTTTATTTTAGTCACTATCCTTTGTGTTAGAAGCTTTCTCTTTTCATATATCTGTTAATATTTGGTTTGGGACTTAGATATAAGAGTGGGAAATGAAAAAGCTGATTGGAAACTGTGCATTTGTGGATCTTATTAACTTTACACCTTACAGTAGAGTGTACTTGCTGGACTCTTCTTGGGGAATCCCTAAATGTCATTATCTTTATATCTTTTCTCTTGGGCTAACTGGATTCCCAAAATGACATTTCTAATCTACTGCCTGAACAGATAAGGCCAGGAACTTTAACTTACTTTCTCTGCTTTCGGCTTGATGGTCCTGCACTTACCTGTGCCTAGTGCCCAGGTTCCCTTTGTTTTCTTCTCCACCGAGGAAAAAAGCCTCCACTTTGTTTATGTAAGAGAGGAGCATTACCTGACTGGGCAGAGGCAGGGCCAAAGACTTTCAACTGTGTTTTAGCCTCTCCTTCTCTACTTCCAGAATACGTGGTGTTGCCAATTTCTGGGCCATTTAGGCTTTCTGCAGTATAAATCAAGTTGGCTTCTCAGCTTTCCACGCTGTTGACTTGGGAAATTTTTGCTTTCTCTGCCAGTTTAAATTTAACTATTAACTTTCTACTTTCTAGGTTGTATTGCTTTTGCCTCCTCTTCCATTTTCTTTGTCCTTTAGAGTTTATATCTTATTAAAGTCAACATTAAAAACTATGCTGCAAACAAATGATCTGTTTGAAAGGTGTGAGTATATCCTGTTATTATCATCCTTAGCAGTTTTGTAAAATTTGGCCTTATTTTTCTTTTGAGTCTTCTTACAGCATATGTTGTAATTAGTTACTTATCGTTTTTAAGGAAAAGTTTATTCCAATAGAGCAAAAAGTAGAAAACTCAGAATGAGCAAGGCTTATTTTAAGTTACTAAAGTTTCTTAGCTCATTAGCTGTGAGGTATTTATTGTTATTTTGATACCGGTTTATTCTAGTTAATCTCTTTTTTGCCTTCAGTTTGTTGATCTGTTATGTTTATTACCTTTCTACTTTCTCCCTTTCTGTAGTTAAGTCGAATTTGTTAGAGAAAGCCGCTATTGTTCTTAGATTTCACAATGTGGATGTAGATCAAGAGAATCCCTTTTAAAGGAGTCAGAAGTGAATTCAGGCTATCACTTATTCCAGACCATTGCCCATGAAAGAGGGACCTCTAAATGATATTTAAAATATTTTGCCCACATTTTAGTGATCTTTAGGAATAAGTGTGCAGCTTCTTCGTTGACTCGTTTCATATTTCTCAATGGTGTATTGAAGTTCTTACTGATGTCTCTGGTAGGTATCAGATGTGGGTAAGGTAGTGATGAATAAGGGAGAAGCTCTTTTTTTCAGAAATAAATAGGATAGAGATTATTAAAGGAAGCAAATAGGCTGCAAAGAAAATTAACTGAACTTGAGTTGATATAGAAGTAGCTGAAGAAGGTAATGGAGGTCAGACAGGACTGAGCTTGTATGGAATGGTGATAGGATCATCTTATATTTATTATTTTTATCATCTATTTAATACTAACAATTGTTTTCTCTAATGTACTAAAGGAATTAAAATTATAAGGATTAGGAAATAATTTTTTTTTTTCTATTTGGTAAATTTTAGAGTCAGAAGCAGTATATACTCAGAGCTTAAGGTAGATTCTATATAAAAAAGCATTCAACAATTTAAAGCATTATTAGGACTAAAGCTACGAAATGTGTTTATTGAGTGCCATGATCCATGGGGTTTTTCATGTATTTGAGCATCTTTTGAGAGGGGAAAGATTGAGAGAGAAGGTGGATGTTGACCATCACGGCACTGAATAGATAAATCCCTAGACAAAAGCATTTGCTAGTATTATTGGCTATCTTGAGGAAATCAGATTGGCAAAATAGCTAGCCAGTATACTACGCAGAAATTGGCCTCGAGTCAATTTACCTTTTTAAAAAGTTGATTTAAAAAGAAGACAGTTGATATCACCTTTTTCTCCCTGTAGGATTTTTTTTCTCAACTTGAAATTTATTTTAAAATGATATTTGGGTTTAAATTTAGTGATTAAAAAATAGAGAACAAATGTAATATCAGTTTCATTTCATTATTTCACAAAATTAAGTGCCCTTTTACACAGCCTACCACCTATATTACAGAAAAAAAGCTTTACACAAGAGGAAATAAAAAATATTGAAAAAGAAACAATATTCTTGGTGCAGCTTTTAAGTACAAGTTTCTTAGTTTTTGTTATTTGCTTTAAATGACTTATATACCATGAAATAAAAATATGCTGCAATTTTTTAGTTTCGTTATGTGTATATATAGTCTTGCCATTAAATATTTTAGATATTATGCCAGAATTCAGTGTATTTGGAGTTAAGATGTAATAATTCACAACTTTTTTTTTTTTTTTTTTTGCATTTCTCATTTTTATTTGACAGAAAAAGTTGCTCTTGCTGTACAGATTTTAAAAAACCAAAATGCCTTTAAGAAACATGAAGAAAAGTTGGGAGGAGAGGGTCACACTGGGGGGCAGTAAGGGCCAACTAATTTCAACTCCTGCCCCTTCTTTCTAGGAACACCTCACACAACTTCCTAAGTCTCAAACTATTCCCCCTGGAACTTAGGAATAGAGGGGGAACACTGCCCTTTCTGACTCAGGACTGGGGAGTCCTGAAGTATATCTTCCCCTTCAGCAGTAATTAACTTCACTATCATAATAAACCATTTTATAGATTTTTTTTTTTTTTTTTTTACAAATTAAAAACATAATGGAAAATTTCAAGAAAAACCTCTAAGGAGAATAGTTATCACCCAATTTCAACAATTATCAACTGGCAGCTAGTCTTTTTTTCACCTTACAAATTTATTTTTAAGTTAATGTCACCTTCGAATGCTCTGATTAGCAAATTTCAAAACAAAAATGTTTTATGAATTTGATTGGATATATGTGAAACTTTTTTTAAAAAAAATAATTACTCTTTATTACATTGTAACAGGAAAAATTGGGGGGAGGCAATCTCACGGTAATATTTCTAAAGAAGATTGTGAAAATATAATCATATTTTCTGCTCTTTCATCACTTATTAAAGGTAGAGATTTTGTACAGACTTAGCAAGCAAACGTGATTTTCAGAAAGAATTCAACAACCACCACCAAACTTGTAAATATATAAGCTCTTACCTTTACTTTTTTGTCTTTGAGACTGGTGTGCTAAGGAATCTATTCTGTTTCTTCTACAGAATTAAAAGGAAAAGTATGTCATCTGATTGCATTTCACTTTGTTTTAACCTTTGTACTCAGTGAACAGGTGATAAAAAAAAAAAAAAAACTAGATATCCTTAGCAAAAGATTGACTAAGAAGAGTAATTTCTTAAAGTTATCTTTGATTTCTTTAGCGTAACAAATAAGGTGGTTTACATAAAATTTGTGTTTAATTACTCTTAAATTTAAATATTAACAAATTTACTTTGTGAGTTAAAGTACATAATTTTGAGAATGCATACTTGGAAAGATATATAGCTAATGTGATTTAAGTGTTAGTCCTAAAGGTATGATTCAAGTTGAAAAGATACCACCACCAAGTTTAGTATTCCACTAAGTTTCAACTTTGTTGTTTACTCAGTTTTATGACACTACCATTGGTGTTTTTACTGCTAAGTTATAACAGGAGCAAAGTACTCAGAACGTCAAAATACTTGATACTTAGCCATTATGTGGCCTTCAGAAAATCAGCTACCTTCCTTGTATGGTAACGTCCCCTCTGTAAAATGGAATACTGTACAACATTAGTTCTCATCTAACTGCAGTAGACATATCAGGCAAAAACATGGTTAAGATTCACTGTTGGTAGTAAGTAATCGTGGAATTCAGAATGTTAGTTCCAAAAGATTAACACCTCTGGGCCTCAGTATCCTTAATCTATGAAACAAAAAGTTTGAAATGGGTGATCTTTTCTCCTTGACATTTCTATGAGCCCCTATTCCATAGAAATTGTAGCAGCAGCAAACACATTTGTTATACTGTAGTAATTGAGGTTCAAAGTGAAGACATCACTTCCTGTTCAACAGTGAGACAAAAATAAATACAAATTCTAGATTGTCTGTTTAATTATGTTCATCATTTATTTGGTTATTATGATATGCTTTTAGGAGTTTTTATGAATTTATTTTTATTTTAAAATTTTATTAAATATATTGGGGTGATATTAGTTAATAAAATTATATAGGTTTCAGGTGTACAATTCTATAATACGTCATCTGTAAATTGCATTGTGTGTTCATCAGTCAAAGTCAAATCTCCAGTATATGAAGAAAACAGAGGTGCTAAACTTATGGACCTTGGTCTTCAAGAGGATTTTATGAATTTGATCTCAGAGGCAAGGGAAGTAAAAGTAAAAATAAATGCATGGGATTATATCAAACTAAAAAGCTTCCGCACACCAAAAGAAACCACCAACAAAACAAAAAGACAACCAACCGAGTGGGAGAAGATATTTGGAAAATTTCTGGGTTTAGATTATCTTATTCTAATAGTAGGATATGATATATGAAGAGTGTGGGTGTGATAGGTGGAACTTTAGGGCTTAGCTAGTGATTATGAAAACTGTAGAATTTGGTATCTACACATGAAAGAGATTAAATAGAATAATCATTTTGAAACAAAATAGAAATTTATAATATTGGGACTAAAATTTATCTTTAAGAAAGCTTTTTATGTGTGGATATTGAAATGTTTACATGATAACTAGCATTTTAACCTCTATTATTTTTCAGAATTTTTCTCTATCCT